TCTCTCTCTCTCTCTCTCTCTCTCTCTCTCTCTCTCAGTTTTGCATTGCACCTTCTCTGCTTTCGCAACCGAGACTCGTGCATTTCTGTTTTTATTTACCCGCCCGTGAGTAAGTTTTTATTGGACATACGCGATGACTGGGTTTTATCGAAAGAGGATACATCGTTCCAGTCGAAACACATGCCAAGCGTGGGATCTCAGTATATCTGACTGTGGGAGCTTACGCAAACTAGAAATATACGTCACACTTTCTTTAAGTCTGGCTGTAATAGGATCGATTTCCCGTCATTTCCCCAAATTGCAAAATATTCTACGAGATGGGTAATTCATGGTTGCCTTTACCTCATCTTAATCATGCTGACAGACGCGTTTTTAGCTCAGGATCAAAGTGATATTCGAAGATTTACAACATCACTAACGGCATTTTTGTCAAATTTTGCGGTCGTTTTATCAGTGAAATTGCCGTCAAGTTTTCTCCGAATAGATACATCAAGGTACATTTTCTTCACAGACCCCTTATAAATCAATTGAAGCCCGGAGATGTTTATTGAGATCAATGTTTTATTTGATTTGGGGATTAAGATTGCTAATTTTCTCATACGGACTGTATTTATTCTCTCTGGTGCTGTTTAGTTCTGTTATATACGTACATCTAATCATGATTCAGTGTGTATTTTTGAATAAATGCCCAACAAAAATCCACTCATGTTTGCATGTCCACTGATATCAGGGTCTAATAAAATAGTATACAAAATGTTAATAATATACAATTTTTGTATCAGACTACCAGCTGATGGTACGTCAAGGCAATCACGGGTAAAGAAACCGATTCTCGCATTGACGATAATAATATAGAAATCAACGACAACAAAAGAAATTGCTCATCCAGTTAGCTAGAAATAACGACCTGCGCCAAAGAAACAGCGATGCTTTGTAAATGCTTGGAATGCGGTGTATTCTTGTACTGTCATTATAATAACATAGGGGTTTACAAATGTCTGGGGGGGGGGGGGGGCATTTATTGAAAAAAAAATGCAGAGCAGTAAAAAGCATAGAACAAATAGTAGATGGAGATATTTTGCCATATGGTGTAGGGTACAGGTATAGGAAACTACTCGGTTCTGTCTCGTTAATTATACTGATTTTGTCTAAAAGAAGGGAAGAGAAGGCGGAGTACCTCTGGAGCCACGGGAGGAGCACCTATCCCTTTTGACATCTTTTATCACTACCTTGAGCCTATATTGGCATTAGTATCAATTCTCCTTTCCTTTGCTACGGGCTGTTAACTCACATGCTTAACCAGGTCCGCAACAGGAAGAAGGGGTGGGGTTCGAAAGCGCCACCCTTTTTGTCGGGAAAGGGTCCGCTCTGGGTAAATTTTGATCTACGAACACAATGATTTCGTGGGAAAAAAAGAAAAAGTTCACTTTTTTAGAAAAAGAACCTACTATTTAAAAATGCCACTGGCCTGTATACACTTATATAAGGCTTTTTATCGGACGTCTTTGCTTTTATGTCGTGTCAATTGCTAATGCCAAACAAAAAGATGTAACTGTAAACCGAGCTAGGCAATAAGTTATATTACTCCTTCGGGAATAAATTGCAAAAGAGTATCTTTCCAGGCTGTGAGTCATTTTTACTTGTCAATCATAACCCTGAATTTTGTAGTTAAACATTTCTCATTTATCTTATTACGCTTGCATCTGATCCTGATCTTTTGAACTTTGGAAAAAAAGCTCCTTAAGCCAGTGGGGGATCTTGTTCAGACAACCTCTGACGTCAGCGAGAACTTTAGGTCGATCATTTTCAAACCGTATACCTGCGGAACAGGTGGGTTTTCATCTTATGCACTAAGTACCCGCGACATAACGAGCAAATTGGTTCAAATGAACCATATCGGCAGCAATTAGCAGCTAGCATAAGATTAATTCATTCGATCCAGTCTGGTAAGTTTGGGAAATGCCGTAACTGACAAGCGTCAAGAGTGGTGAAGTAACTGCCGATGATAGACGCGGCTGCCGCTTGCAATATTGCGTGGTAGATAGTTAATGATAAAAACATTGTTTCTGCCGTTTCCACTCGGGGAAAAGGCAGTAATTACGGCTTATTCCCACGCGTTTGGTTCGATTACTTGCTATGGGATGGAAAATGAAATGAATTAATGTATTACAGCGGCAGATTAAGATTAGAAAAACTGGGAAGGGGCGTTAGGAAGGGTAAACGCTCTGCTTAGCTGATTGTGCCTCTGTGGCAGCTGCCTCCTTCCTGCATTCCTTCCTTTCTGCCTTCCTCCCATCCTCGTCACTTTCGTTCTTACGTGGTATGAGAATTTGAAATCACTTAAGTCGTTTTTACCTTCCTCTCCTTTATAGCGTAGGTGATTGTTGTAATGCAAAGTGATTTCTGTGTCATTCTCTTTCTGTACCCCCTCTCCCTCCATCCCTACTACTCTCTCTCTCTCTCTCTCTCTCTCTCTCTATCTCTCTCTCTCTCTCTCTCTCTCTCTCTCTCTCTGCCCTGCGTCCCACAGAATCCTAGAATTAGATTAATCAAAAAAAGACTGCGATCTTTATGGTAAATTCGGCGTGTACTCTCTACGTGTTCCCCCCATTGTCTGCAATCTGGAACTATTTTATCGTCTGCACTTTGATTTCACGTCAAATAAATCGCTGTGGAAAATCGACAGAACGTTGATGAAGTGTACACAAAGTGATCCCACGCATAACATTGGTGAAACTGGAGGTTTGCAGGCAAACTCCTGTCGATATTCCCAGTGATTTAGACAATATATGTCACATATCGTAGAATAATATGATTGTTAATACCTGTATATATTTTCCAGTGCTCCTTCTTCTTGCGGTCGAAGTGGTTCAAGCACAGCCGGATCCATTCACGAGTAAGTCTTTCTTTTTAGTTATAACGCATTGATGATTGGGAAAGTGACATTTTAAATATGTAATAGTACGATGTATCATGATCGTAATTAACTTTTGGTATGTGTTGTGATTCGGAGTTGAATTGATATGATACGCTTTTCTACTTCATGAAACGTTTAAATAAGTAATCTTATGGTGGAACACTCTTAATCATTTGATGAAGCCTGTAGTTATAGGAAATTAATTTAACGTCTGTGGCTAATGACAAATTAAAATATTCATTACGTGTCCAGTTACCAGTTTTCATGTTAAGGATAGCTCAGTCTCTATCTTTTCTGTTTTCCAAATTAAATCATAGACATATGCGACGGCAGATCAGAAAGGGTGGGGCCGGCGCAATGGTCTATTCACCCCTTTCCCCCATAAAACGGCATGACAAGCGACACGAGACTAAACTAAGCACTCTTTCAGAAGGTGTGACTTGCATATTATAGTGATATAGTCCGTTTTTAATTTTTGTGAACACCCCTGCTCTCTCTACTGACTACCATAGGCTAGCTAGGTGATGACATAGGCCTAAATTTTATAAATAAATAAATATATTTTATAAATATAAATATATAAATAAACGTTAGATCTACGCATTTCAATTCCTGGAACAGCGCCAATCTTGTAACCCCGTCAGATTAAAAAGTTGCTGTATAAGGGCGTATTCCCAGAGCTTTTAGATCGAACTATCCCCGCGGGGAGTCTCACTAGATTACTGTCAGATAATCCGGCTTAAATGTCCGTCCCGCCTACTACAAGCTGTAAGGGGGTAATTAACTTTCGTACCCGCTCCGCTGACAGCTATTTAGCGTGAACCCCTAGGGAGTTAGGTCGATCTAAAGTAGATCGATCTAATCTCTGGGAATGGGGCCTAACACATGGCACAACAATATAATAACTGGTATCTCTTTAAATCCGTAAGGCGGAACCATATAGTTGACATTGCCGGTGTGACAGGATTGGTAGTCCGCTAGGAACCGTAGTCAGTTCCTTAGTACTTTGTACAGGTGCCTGTTTCATATACTATTCCCAATACTCCCACTAACCCTAACCTGTACTTATATATCATATGGGACCCGGACTTCCATTCCTAGGACTATAATTCTTGTCACACCGGTATTTTCACTTTTACAAATGGATTAAATCTAACCCCCAAATCTAAGTAGTAATTGTCAGAATCTCTCGGTTTGAAAAGTTTTGCTTTTGCTGGTAATAGAGGTTTTCCGATAGACCGCAATACTCAGGGTGGTGGAATTCTTGACAGCCTGAGACGGAGTCCTAGAGAAAGGCTGCAAATTCACTCCAGTCGAAGACTTATGAATATAAATGACTATCATATTGTGAAGAGCCCCTATTTGTCATACAGAACCGGCATTAATAAGCGCCAGTATTGAAATTTGATATCATATTTCTATGCCTTTGATTCGATTTTGCTCCTCGCCACATCATCCACGTTCACCAAAGGTATAGAATGATTGTATGGTATGGAAATATATTTTTTTAAGTGTGTGTGTGGGGTTTCAATGCGTCGATATTGTTTAAAATAAACTGCCGGAGAGAAAGAGAGAGAGAAAAAGAGAGAGAGCAATCCAAATCAACAAAGACTTCGTCACTGTGTGTACGTAAATGGGTCTATACATTAGATTATAAAAAAAAGTGGCATATACTCGTATGGGCAGACTTGTATTTTTTCATTTGTTTTAACGAAACAGATGGGAATCATAAACTTCTCCTGAAAGATAAGATAACAAGCCGTATGGACAACGAGGTTTTCGTAATTGGTTCTTCTTTTTGGTCCCAAACTCAGCGGGATCCCAAAACCCGGACGATTAATCGAGTTACCTGTCTATCCGAACGCAAACTCATCGGTTTGGCTTCCTGCCATTGTTTCAGTTGGCATCTCTCTTTTGACCCTAAAACATTCCATGTCATGGGGCCTATTTATTTTATTTCAGGTAAGTCTGGCAATTACTTCAATTCTGGAGCACTGGTGATCCAGTGTTTGAGAGAGAGAGAGAGAGAGACCCATTTAGTTGACGCAGAACAAACGACTCGTTTCGTTTGTCAAAACTTCTTGAAAAAAGTAAACCTAAAGAAGAAAATTCTTATTTCTTACGCCCTTTTTAATTCTCCACCTCCAACACACACACGCACACACACACACACACACACACACGCGCACACACACACACACACACGCACACACTGCGCACGCCTGGACAGAGTAGGGATTGACACTCTTCCCACAAATATGCCAAATTAATAGATGAGACTCTTTAGAGATTTTTCATATTGATATACTTGTGTCCCCTTAGCTGCACGATGCAAAACGACACAAAATGATTGTCCCGATACCTTGTTGTAACGCTATGAAATACAGGGTACCGAACGGCCATGCCTCTCCAGGGTAATTTTATTATTTTACAATCTCCGGGCAGATATATCGTATTTTACCAAATTCGGAATTTCTTTGATGTACAGGCGCCTATGTATCCTGTACTACAGTGTTCTGTTGGCATCAGATAATGGGCTAAGGGAATTATATTATGCTGGAGTTACATTAGTATCGACTAGGACGAAACTAAAGGGAATGTTACACTAATAGACTGTGTATTTTAAATTGCGAACATCCTCCCTCGTTCACGTTGTCTTTGTCTCTTCGATTACGGCGCACGCTCATTTTCATCTTTGGTCTGGAATTTGTTGAAAATAAGAGTGCAAGATTTTTTCATCATTTCTCTGAGCTCCACCAGCCACTTTATTATTTATTCATTTTGAAAACACGCTTTTCATGATCATTTTTTCCTTTTTTAGTTTTATGCAAAAATGACACTATATTAAACTGTATAGGGGAAATATAATCCGCGACCTTATAGCGCAGACATTAATAGTTGTGCATATGAAATGTCTTGTTTTTTTACACTATGTAAGTAGGTTGTTAAAGCTGTAGCCGGCATGAAGGGCCGTTATATTGTTTTTGCCTGCTAGTAGACCTCCTCGGGCCACATGCCGCTTCCCATAAAATATTGGCGCAATATTGGCCGTAAATAACGTTAATTTAAGGCCGCAACAGCAGTCGACTTTCATCAGACGCTAAAATAAACCCAACTGAACTTGATCAGGACAACGACCTCACTTCAACCTCACTTCAAGTTAAATTAACTACCTTATTTCTTTTTATCATTTATTTATTTATTTGTTTTTTTGGGGATATTTTGCAGCTTGCGGTTTTTACAGCCTCGGTATTTTCATATGGCAGTTAATATGTTGGGCTTGGTATCAGGTTTTGCTCGCGTGACAAGATGTTTTGTTAATAGGTTAAAATGCATTGACTGAATCTGTATATAAGCATAAGCATAGTTTAATATGTTACATGGATGTTAAATGTCAACCCGTTCAAGTCGACCAGGATCCTAAAAGATTTATTCTTTCAGCCACTTAGTTGAAGTTGAAAGACGGTCGTGTTTTTATTGTGAAACGTTAAAGAAAAATCACAAAAAGTAAAGGTAGTACCGCGTTTGTTTTTGTTTTTGCTGTTGTGTTTATATTGTTTTTCCAGAAACGCACGGGTCACAGTAGGCAAATAGGTCACGACAATACTCATTTTCTGTAGGCCAGCTGAGAACATAAACGAGAAATCTGCCCCCTACGTGTGTGATGCCCTCTACTGCGTATACTGAGGTCGCCGAGACAATTTTTGTTCGTCAGGCAGTATTCACAGACATTTCTCTGGCTAATTCTGTCCAGCGATAATTTTTGCACAGAAATGATGCCCTCACCCTGGCTTGTGGTAAACATAATATCCCTATGTAACTACACTAAAAAATTTTATTTCTCTTCACCTGTATCTTTTATCTCGACTTTTTTTTTATATCCAGTGTCTTATTTTTTAATCTCTTCTCGAAGCATGTTCTGTTTTTACGTTTTGAGCACGAGGCGAAAGCGGTTTTGGGTGAGAACGACCGTCATCTCGACCGGAATTTAATTTGTGCCATAAAGCGTGTCAGAAATCAATAAATCGATAAGATTATGATTTACGACGTTTGGCAGAATTTTTCATCAAAAGGGGCTTTTCTGACTAGACCTTATAAACAATTGACTGATATTTTTAAGAGGCTGTGGGGATAGTTTGACGCTGATACATGTATTAAAGAGGAAAATATTCCGTTGTGTTTCCTTATACCCAAAATTTATAAACAATTGTCCTGGTTGGAACTGATTTTTTGCCAGATTTTCAAAAGTTAAGCGCAATGGAAGCAATGCATATCCAAAATATAATGACGACAAAAATAATTACAACCAAGATTTGTAAATAAAAAGTGGAAACTTTTTCTTTAAAATACGTATTTTAACAGACACCCTCAAGCACAAGTATGCATTAGATATTCTATACTAGTAGCAGATGGACAGTGCATTAATATTGTACCTCTACATCTGATTCCTAATCCGTAGATTGGTGCTTAATGTGAGGACGGATGTAAATAAGTGTATGAGCATATCTCTATATATAAACGTCTGCGTTTTTTATTTCTACGGCACACAAACACAGGCCTACCCAACTACCAGACTCGGCACCGAATGATCCAGAATTCACCGGTAAATCGGACCACACTACCCGTTTTCAAGGTGTGTATCAGATCGCATTACATAGTATCAGACGCGACACCGCTCTTGCCTAGTACGCGATGTGATAGTGACGATTCTCAGCGGGGTTGAAAAGCATTGCATCACCACTCAAAATTTGTTCAGGGTATGATACTGTGTAATGCGATCTGATACACACCTTGAAAACGGGTAGTGTGGTCTGATCTACTGGTGAATTCTGGATCATTCGGTGCCGAGTCTGGTAGTTGGGTAGGCCTGAAACACTGCTATTTACATCCTTTTGTACTGATAATACGTGTGCCTGCATGCATAAGCACACGCGCACGTGCACAGGCACAATCTTCTGGCGCTCGTACACGCACTTTTAAGTGCTTTGAAGTTATCATATTTAATGTGAATATTAAAATATTAGTAATGCCCCGCATTTGAATGTATCGTCTGTTTCTTAAAGCAACCACCTAGATAGAGGTCTGTCTCGACATTGGTTAAAGCAATGGCGGACCTAGGTTGGAATACAGTGGGGTGCATACCCCCTCCCCTTTAGCCCCTGAGATACCCCTTCCCCCCAAGAAGAAACGGAATAGCCAATGAAGCGAGATAAAAACAATCACTTTGTCCATCCGTGCGCCGTGCATACGACAGCTAAATTGTCCTCATAACCTCTTACATATCGAATGAAAGTATTCTGTTCTAAACCCCACCCTACCCACCGTACCCACCCCACCTCACTCAGCATTCAGTAACATCCTCAACCCACCAGTGTTCACCACGCTCTGTTCTTTTTTTCACAGCTACTATAGACTGCTATCGGTGCCTGGGGCCTATGAGAAACAGCACGTGCGGGGATCCCTTCGACGCCGAAAAGCTCCACCTTGGTGAGGAGGAGAGCGGTATTCAGATCATAAAGTGCAAAAGAGGGGCGTGTCTAAAATGGACGTATTTTCACAAAGGTAAGCTATAATCCTGCGAAGACTTTCGTCTATTGTTTTATGTACACACAGTTGCAAGAATAATTTTTTCAAAGAACAACTTAAATTAGAACTGAAATATTGAAGTGGTAATAGCTCTGATTTTTATCTGTGGCTTGAGGAATCTATCAGTGGAACTTTTAGATAAAATTTATTATCAACCTCCCACAAATACTATACAGCTATTCAGAAATATGCTCACTGACATGAGTATTCACCCAGGACTTGGGTATAAGGTATTGCCCGTTAAATGACAGCATCAGTAAATCATCGTTTTTCCTGAAACACACCATCTGCCAAGTCAAATTTGAAAAGCTAAGGGAGAAGGGGGCGGTCCAGGCTCATCTTTGTCTTCTTTATATTCGCCTTATCTACATGTATCAACCGCTGTCATTTATAAAGGACAATTTTCAATGATCTGTGGCTGATTCCACACCAGATATATTGTCTTTTAGTAATGGACAGGCAGACGGGATAACGTGCTATTGTATTATACTCGGATCCAGTGGTTTATCTGCTTAATGGAACATTCACCACTTAAATCAATACGAAGTCGCTCCTCGCTGCATTCGAGCTGAACCAATTGCCCATTCTTTATCTCAAGCTAAAATATTTTAAATTTTTTCAAAGTTAACATTCACTGAAGTTTTGCGTGTTATTCCGATGACAATCGTTTATATAATTAAGAAAGATGTTCTCTGTGCTTGTTGTTACAATACAGTTTCGTGGAATTTTTTTAAATAGCTCTTCCCGTGGCATGCACCACGTAAATGTCAACGACCACCATGTTATGATGGAAAAGAATTCACAACAGTAAATGTAATGTCAAAATATGAAACCCCGTCTTCATAATAACCATACACAGACGTAACAAAGGGTTTTATATTTAGATGAAATTTGGAAAGAAAGGAGCAATTTATAGATGCGTATGGACATCCTATGAGCACAGAGGTGGCGTAATAAATTATACTAAATGTACTACTTTTTGGCGATATAGGGTGAAAGTCGTGTAAGAAATTAATACAAGCCACGCAAAATATGGTGAATCTGTACTTGGGTAATAGACCGTAGTTCTAAACAACGAAAGAGAAAACACCCAGAAAAATATCCATAGATAAATTATTTGATTTTTTTCATTGCCGCACCGCGCTCTCTGCCATTATTTCCCACCAGACACTCCTCCTGCGAAATCTCGCTTGATTTTACTGTACCGTTAAGATGCGAGACTTTCGATTTTATTTATCATCGATGAATTTCATTTAACTATCTCAAGCAGTATATCTATTCCCCGGCCTTTTTTTCTCTAAAACTACGTCTTAAATTACTTAAACATAGCCATTTCCCTGCAGGACCCATGCATATATCTCGCTGCACGTGTTGTCCTTTTTCTATTTGTGAAACTGCATTGTTATAAATTGTTTATGATCAGACATCTTCTGTCACCTCTTGGCGTTTCCCCCATCTGTATTTACGTCTTGTTCTAATTTATGTGTTTATTGAACACGTATTTATATTGCAATACTACACTTAGATCTGTAATAATTCATAATGAATGCTGTAAACCGCCAGTTTGTGTAAACCCTTCCTCCAATCACAAGTAAGTGAAAACGACAAAGGAAAAGAAATACAATATTTTATTCTTTTACATTTGCAAGTCAGTTTTGACCCAAGGGTGATCGACATTGGAAATCTGTTACTTTCTTTTGATTTCCTACAAAACGATGTACGCATGCGTCTGTACGCCTGCGCATTCAAATGATTCATTTTTGTCTATTTATTTATTTAGATTCATTCTTTAAATTAGCTTGAAATAAAACCAAATAACTTCAACATATTTCAGGTGAGCTGCTAATCAGAAGAACGTGTTCGCTGGACGAAGAAGACCTCGTGTTTCACATACCTCTGGTGGACGTGTGTAGAAGGGAGAGAGATGGCAACGGGCGCCTCTGCATGTGCTCCGGTGACTTGTGCAACGCCGCACGCCGAACTTCCGCTTCCGCTTCCTGGAGCCTGCTTATAGCACTTGGCTCGCTAATTCTTTCTGCGAAGTTGCTTCTCCTCAGCTGACACCCCCTCTCCCTGGTTTGTTCAGTGTAAGTGACATTGAAATATGATTCAACCCACGGCCTATAGCAGTGCATTGTCTGAAATCACGAGATCAAAAGACAAGCTGATGTTCAGATATGATAGAGAAATGTACGCGATTAAAAGGAAGGAAAGACAGCGAGGTTTTCATTGGTGCTTCCGCCGGATCTGCTGTTATGGGCCTTTTATTAATCCGGAGAAATGTCTGTAGACCTACTCAACGTAACAAAACTCCACCGACGAGATGGGAACACAGGCAAGCTTCCATGGTGTTTTATTATGTGATTAATTATCTTTTTCTACTCTTTGTGGTCAAGGGCTCTCTAATGTTTTTCCCCGTTTCTTCATGCACCACAAAGTCTCATGGGAAATATACACAGTTGCATCCATCAACATTGATGTTTTTTTTTAAATTGCAGTTATTAGCCTATTGTTTTGCATTGTTAGAACCAGTTAAAACATTGTCAAACTGTAACAAAGTATTACTAACAAGGAATTGTTATCATATGGGAGGCGCTCGCAAAAGCTCAATACCCAAAGGGAATGTTCTATTAAATAAATTCTTTAATCACGTTTATCATTAAATTTAACGGCTATAGGGCCTGGATACATTGACATGATGATGGAAGCACGGGAGATAAATTTTGCACGGAGTCGACCGACTATAATTTTTTATCTTTCGTAGACTCACCGCTTTGGCGTCTTCATGTTTGACTTTTTGTTGCCTTCCAGTGATCCCAGAGGCTAACATGTCAATACCCAATTTTGATACGTGTTGCATGATGAAGTCTCAATTAAGCCTTCTGGGGCCATTCAATATTCCCACTTTGTCAATAAATGATGACTGTATTATATAATAGCCAACAGAGGACGATCTGTTTTTAATGTGCCAGGAACAGCACTGTATTTCTTCCCGTTGCTGAGCAAATGACAAAAGAGATGGGGCGTTAAGGGGAATTCTGGACGGCCCCATAAAGGCATGTAGTAGCTTGTTGTTCCAATTAAGTTTTTTGAAGAAGGTGCGAAATACTCATTGTATATACGCTTGCTTTCCGCCATTTATATAGCTGGCTATCCAAACAGATTATCCTGGCAAAATACCCATAATGCATATTAAATAATGCAATTTATTTTTACCTTTAAGCGCCAGTGGTAATGATAAAGGAATGTTGCTAATTTGAGTAGTAGTTCTAGGTATTTGGCCTTCTTAATGAAAAGCGTTAATGTTTGTTTTGTTCTCAGAATACACGTGGTGAGACACTTATCTCTTTTATATATATATATATATATATATATATATATATATATATATATATATATATAATGTAAAATGTGATAGTTTCTGCAGCATTTTAAAGCGGCTGAATGTGGCAGGAGATACACATTGTCTACGCATCAAATTAAGAAAAATACTGAAGGATTTTACATTTCATTTTAAATGCTTCAATACTCATATAAAACAGCAGTCGTGCTTAAATCAAGTCGATTGTAGCCAGAGAGTAGGTCGATAGGATAAGGTTTTTAGTACATAAATGAGGCGAATACTGTAGACTTAATATGGGACTTACACAAGGAATTAGACTTTCTCCGACCTATGAGCAAGCTCGTCCCGTGGGACCTTATCAAGAACGTGATTGGACAATTAAACCTTATGATGCTAACATCAGCAAAAAATAGCCATGAGAACATCATTCGCTACGTTAATCTAATTCTCAAAACTAATCAGTAATTAAGGCATGGAATGAATGCCAATCAATATGGTCCCATGTACAGGCTGTACAGTAGTCGGTTTTTAATTAGGAAGACGATAGTCCTCTACTTAGTGGGCTTACATGGTCACGCAACGTAGTTGATGATCCAAGGGTGTTTTATTTTATACTGAGTAGGCCTACCAGTTCGTATCAATCCCAAGTTCTGTTACGCGTGTGCATGTTGATGTATATAATGTATAGTTGTACATATATATAACACCGCTTCCAGAAGGAAACGGGTTGCGTTTCATAAATGGGATATTTGTTGTTATTATTAGAATGGCACCAGTATAAACTAAGTGGCATAATACACAGGACTTTAATATGAGTTATTTCCTACATTTCTATGCAACTGTTTCACCTACTCATATGAATGACGTTATCATATTAAACATATTTTCGGTACTTGGTTGTGGTTTTTCTTATTTCTTGCGATACTCAATGTAGTGGACGTGTGTTTATACTGTGTGTGTGTGTGTGTGTGAGAGAGAGAGAGAGAGAGAGAGAGAGAGAGAGAGAGAGAGAGAGAGAGAGAGAGAGAGGGGGGGGGGGGGTCAAAACAGACTTACACTCCTGACACACACACATTTTGCCAGACTATAAAAAGGATTATGACTGAGATGGGCTGATTTAAATAACGTATGGAAAGCAGAGGCGCGTGTATCACTTTTTATTGAGACAAACTATCTTTAGTTTCCACATTTTTCGTCAGTATCGATCAATCAATCAATGCGGTAAACACTACATACCTCTAAATCTAATTTCGATAAAATACCCATTTCTAAACATTAAAACCTAAATTACCAATTACATAAAGAATAAATTTTAAAAAACCTGAATGAAATCTCAGTACTTTGGCGTAGTTTTTGCCACCTATAAGTATTTTAACGCCGTATACAACGAATCCACTGACCAGATATTTCTGTTAACTAACTTTCACTAGCTCAGGTGAATGTGTTTAGATTAAAGTGTTTTTATTACTTAAAACCCCCATGTTGCTCTAATTCTATCACAGTAAATATGCCATATTATCCGTCTTGCCCTGGCATGACGAATTTCCATAATTACATACTATCTAAATTTTCACAAGATTCTCTGCGGCAGGGAGACAGAAACGTTCGAGAAAACAATCGGTTTAAACAATGGTCATGTTATACGATCACTGCCATGAAACGCTTTGCCATAAAACCTTTTCTACCCTACACGTTCCATTCAATCCGCTATATATAAACAAAACGTTGTAAAGAAATGCGGGCTTATCTGTTTGTCATATCTATATATATACTTTTTACTGGGACAAGTAAGTCATGAACATGTTAACAGGCGGTTTTTCTCGCGGTTTCCACCATGATTAATTCATACAAAAAACTGCTTCCATTTGATGCTCATCGCATCCACAAAATCTGTTTTCCCCACAATTCCGTTCGAGATGATATGTCAGTCTATAACTTGCACATTAAATCTCGCTTTATATATATATATTTTTTTTTAATAATTCTAGGTTTGACCAGGGAGGAAGTGGAGAGCATGTAAATTCCTCTCCCTGTATCACCATAAGTTCTTAATAGCGTGCCCTAATGATGTCACCAGTTGTCGTTGTACTGGTACTGGGTCTCGTTTTCGTTTCCTTCCGGTTGCTGGTAATGCGTCTCCGTCTGCACAGGCGGCGTTGCCGACATGAACAGACCTTGTGTGCCACTCTGGTAGCCATTTTGCTAAAATATAAAACGTTAATTACGTGTGAGATAATACACTGTCACCCGAGCGTCAGCGAGAGGTGTTCATGGCATATATCGCGAGAGGGTGACAGTGTATTATTTGACATACATACCGAGAAAAAATACGGGCATTTCATCCTAAAACACCCCTAAAATCGAATAAAGTGACCCTATATCACGCTCTAGAGATGTTATACGGAATAAACTCGTCCACGTGCGCTGGTCACCTCCCGCCAATGTCTGACCAATTTGGTCAATTTTTGCTAAATACTTGTCGTGGACGTTCAACTTGAAAAGTATTTAATCAACCGTCGACACTGACTATGCGCGTCTCAGCTGAGCCACACCTAGCTGGGACTGCTGCAGAAAAAAAGGTCCCATGGCAAAACCTCTACTTTTTAGTGACATTTCTGATAAACAAGGAGTTTCGGACTGGAATATAATTTTTCACAAGTGCAAATGAGAAAGAAATTTACTTTTTGGTGATATTTCTGACAACGAAGCAGTTTCGGAATATAGCCAAAATCAGACGGATGTTTATTACAAGTTCACCGGAGTAATAATTCTATTTATTATTGTTATTTCTGACGACGAGGCGGTTAAGGAATATAGTCAAAATCAAACGGATATTTATTTCAGGTCCACAGGAGTAATAATTCTACGTTTTGGTGACATTTTTTACTACGAGGCGCTTTTGGAATATACATGTGCTGGTTTTCAGAGCATTCATGTGCTACATGTAATTAAAAGTTCCAATGGGGAATATATTTCATTTCTACCGATATAGCTGATAAAGAGGAAGAATGAACAGCTTAAAAACAAAAGGTAAATAACACAACCCTCGTTAAAAAGTTATAGATTTACAAATAATTTGTATGCACGTGTCGATTAAATTTTAACGAATTCCCGTTTTTAAATCATATCCATATGTTATGACTTAGTGTAATTAAATTATAAATAATAATCGTTAAACGTGAAAAGTTCATGCTATTTTAAGAGTGTGAGAGATTTTTAATTTGTCTACTGGTAGATATTTAACGCAAGCAACGTCACTATTCTCTTGATGCCAAGAAGGTCACATGATCACTCTGTCTTTGGCTTTCAGCACTGATTTAACCAAGATGTAGTCGTGAAATTCTAGACTACATCGAGGTTAAATCCGAGTTTTCCGAGAGACGCTACGCAGAAATGTCGAGTGAAGCGAGATATGTTTGGGTAGCGGCTCGAGGTTGCCCTCGATCTTCACTGAAGCTTGACTAAATGGACAGGCTTCAGTGATCATCATATCGCCACGGTCATATAACATCCCTAGGTATGTATGGTAACAAGATTGAATGCTTAACCAGTGAGGGGGACTTTTTCTCAGCCCTTGTATTTTATTGTACAGTATCGACATTTTAATAAAATCCTTTTAGGTCCACATTTCCAGTGCGCTCTTCTGAAAGTTATTCAAGATCAGTATTACTTAATAACTGGCATTTTATAGAAAAATTAAAACACTAAAAGGAGAGCACTGTCTTTTTCATCCGTGGGTTGAATGTTAAAAAAGGCACAGATTACGCCTTCTTCTGCATTTCTATCAAATCAAAAAAAAAAAAAAATTGCCGCGAGACAAAATCACAATAATTTTTACATGATGCTTTAAGCGGAGAAGAAACAAGCCCACCTTTTCATTCCAGGGATCCGCTTTTCTAGAATGCGGCTGCAAATAGCCGTTCCCGTCCCCAGTAGCACCGTAACCTGGAATGTGTTAGTTGAGATATATCACAGTGGTGGTGCAGACTGGCGCAATCAGCATTAATAGTCTGGATGACTGGTGCTATATTTTGGCAAAATTGCTCAAAATGTGGAAAAAGCATGAAACTTCTCACAAATGTTCTTTGGTCTATGCTGATCATTTTCAAGGGCAGTGCCCAAAATTTCAAAGCGTTGCTTAGCAACCGTTGCTATGGAAGTAAATTTCCTTAGTAACAAGCTAATTAGACCTTTCTTGTCCAGTTTAAATGGTTTAGAAATGCTAATAACTATGTTTCAGGGCATCAGAACTATCACTAGACTATTTTAAGGCAATTAAAACCCAAATTAACCTTAGCCACGATTGCTAGGCAGCATATTACCCTAGCAACAAGCATTTAAAGTTGCGTTAGTCTATTAAGTAAGGCAAGTCCATAATACTAGCTAAGAACTACACTTTTGAGCAAGATGTTCATACTTTTAATCCAGTTGAAACAATTGTGTGATGTTTACACACATCCGATCAAAAACATTGCCAGTGCAGATATTTAAGGCAGCATGTTCAAAGTTAGTAACCAGCCATTTCCATGCTTTTATCACCTTACGACTCTTTATAAAACTTTGCAATAGTTAAGACGTTAAATTCTCCCTTATGTGCAATATACAGTGCATTTTGCCCTTGCACATTGTAAGCCTCAACATCTGCACCTACATGCACTCTGGAGCAACTCTGGGCAGGTCAATAGCTTCTGGCAAATGTATCCACAAGGGTCCACTGTTCCGCACAAGTCCAACCAGAGTGAGCACATGGTATCTGATGACATGGCACCGTAGTGCTGATTCAGATATATTCATCTCGCAAGAATACTCTTATATTGTTGTAGAGCAGCCTTGGTGGAAGTAAGATATGGCATCTAACGGCCTTTGGGTGTGAACAGAAACTTTTGAACTTCATTGATTAACAAAAAGAATTAAAATAGAACCATGCAGGTGTATTTAAGTTACTTGGTAGAGAATAGAAACTGACAAAATACAATGTGAAAAAACTTTTTAGAAAAATTTTGAACAAAATGAAAAATATCTTGGAAATTTGGTCTCTGAGAAACCTTTCAATAATAGGAAAGTCAACAGTGGTTAAACCCTTTAGTATTTCTCATCTTACGTAGTGCATGTATAAACTCTCCTACCAGCCCCCCTCCCTCAATACTTAAAAATATGCATATCATATGTAACTTCATCAGGAATGGGAAAAGATACTAAATAAAATGAGCAAGGATGGCGTCTGATTACAAAAATGGACGGTAAAAGGTACCACAAATAAAAATTTTACCAAGGCCCTAAACTTTACATGGCTTAAAAGACTTCTTTATGATGAAAATAAGAGTAAGTGGACAGCGTTTTTCTCGGCGAAATGTCAGGAATCGGTAGTAACAAAAGGTGGATTAAAAATACTAAAAGCAACTTCTTATCCCTTTTGGCACAGATTATTGGTTCTTTGAGTGAAATTCAGGAAAATTTCAATTTAACTCCAGATGAAATCCATCACAACCATTATGCCAAAACTCAAAAATTGAAAGAAACTGAAAAACTATTTTCCATAAAAGATGGTGTAAAAATGTTTTTTTACATCAATGATATTATTAATGACATTTGAAACCCTCTCTGTCTATAGGAACTCAACAAAAAATCAACCTTAACACTAACTTTCTGGGCTTATTCAGCATCCAAAAGAGCCTACCATCTGAATGGCTATCTCTTCTCATGGAAGGAAATTACTCATAGCATTCCAAGAAATAATTGACTCAATTAAACAAGTTACCAAACCATCCAGATATTTTTTTCGCAAAAAATCCTCCAAAGCCATATAATATCACCAGATAAAGGTGTGGGTGAACGGCAGACATATTTTAAAAAAACCTTGAGTACTGATAATTGGGAGCCAACATTTAAGAAACAGATCACAAGAAAATGAAGTTGTTCCAATTCAGAATAAATCATAGAATATTCAATACTTATGCTTATCTTATGGATTTGAGAATTTTGCAATACTGCTAGGGAAAATATTCTGTACGTTTTTGGGAATGTCCACATGTAAAAAATGTTTGGATGTGCATCATTTGCCCCGCTAAAGATAATTTAGGTGTGGTCATTGATAGATCTCCGGAGATATTTGTATTTGGGTTTGTGCAAGCATACACTATTTATGTACCTATCTTAATAATTAAGAAACATGTTAGTATATGTAGAATGGGAACAGAAAGATGGGAAGGAACTGGAGGGTATGTAAAATGCTGCAGAGATATCTGTATATATATTATTAAATGTATATTATTAAATATATAATGTTAAATACTTGTTGCTAGGGTAATATGCTGCCTAGCAACTGTTGCAATGGTTTCCTTGGGTTTTTAATGTCTTAAAATAGTATAGTGATAGTTCTGATGGCTTGAAACATTATGAAAAGCCTTTTTAAATCATTTAAACTGAACAAGAAAGGTCCAATTAGCTTGTTACTAAGGTAAATCACTTCCTTAGCAACGGTTGCTAAGCAACGCTTTGAAATTTTGGGCACTACCCTTGAAAATGATCAGCATAGTCCAAAGAACATTTGTGCCAAGTTTCATGCTTTTTCCACCTTTTGAGCAATTTTTGCACCAGTCATCTAGACTATAACAGCTATGTATTTTTGAAGTGAGACATTTTAATATTAAAATACACGCAGCAAAAAAAGCATTGAAACAAATTTGGAATTTTGCTGATGGCGGAATTAAGACATTGCCGACCTTCTAAAGCATTTCGGTGTAAGGTTGAGCAAAATAAAATAGCATAACTGTACACTGTATTAAGGAGTACCTCGGACAATTGCACCAAAGGTATAAAAGCGTTTGTTAAAAAGAGAGAATATAATTTACAAATGTAATGTGAAATTATCGAAGTGTTTCACGCGCCCGCGCGTGTGCGTGCATGTGTGCTTTCGTGTATGCGTGCGTGCGCTCGCGCATGTGTATACGAAGCGTGATGTATGCAGTGAGGTGGCATTTTACCTTGGTGTTCAGACTCCATGGCAGCCAGTTTTGAATTGGACAGGTTACGACTCATGGGGTTCATGGGTACCCCGCAGGGGGCGAGTGTGGACGTCTCTTCCACGTACTCCTTCGGCTCGTGCTTGTCCTGATTCAGGAAGTCTGCCGGCGTCTGCACGTCACTGGAGAAGTAATTGGCAGCCACGAAGAACACAAGAACAGCGATGCAAAGGAATCCATAAATACGGAATGTCCATTCGGAACCTAGTTTAAAAAAATTAGAAATGGTTTCTGATAATCGAATAACTTCTTTAGTTTACAGAGAACCATATTTCAAGCACGGTCAAAATCGTTAGCACTAACTACCCTCTAATAGGATCGTACGTTGATTTTCCCCAGATATTCACAGATATATCTCTGGCTTATTTAAATAAAATGACATTAAAATGACAAAATTTTCTACTGTGGCGTTGGATAAAAAGTGCACATAAATTATCTGCAGCCCTGGTAGAGTGTAAACGGTAACGGTTGCCGTTGCGGTAACTATTTAACAGAAACCTCTTGTATTGAATGAGAGCCGTTGGAATGGTAGATAGGCGGATTACGTCGCTGTAGTGTGGTTACTGTGTGATTGAGTACGACAGTGAAACAATCTAAATTACAAGAACGTAAAGCTCATCATACTGATGCAAAAAAAAAGTCAGACTAAGTTACTAATTAACCTTAGAATCTTTCCGGTATGCAAATAAATCGGCTAAAATTAATAGCAGTTTTAACGTTAACCAAGATTGATCAGCCGATTGATATTCCAAGGTAGTTCTATTGTGAGACAACCCCCGGTGTGACAGGAATGTTAGTCTGCTAGGAACGGTAGTTCGTTCCCCATAACTTTGTGCATGTGACATGCGTCCCATATACTACAGTACTAAATCAAATACTCCGACTAACCCTAACCTGAACTAATCGATTGGGGCCCCAGACGTCCATTTCTAGGACTACCATTTCTGTCACACCGGCCCAGCTATAAACATTTCCACTGGATATTTACCCAGGTAGTGTACCATGATGCCCCCGAACACGGCGCCGCAGCCCCTCCCCAGGCCGTGGTGTAGGCCCTGCAGGATCCCCTGAGCCGAATGCTTCAAGTGTGCTGGTGTGGCGTTGGTTATATAGGAGACGCTGGCGGCCCATACTAAGGCATGGGTAATACCTGGAGTACAAAGAAATAGTCCTGAATTTCACGTTGATCATCCCATTAACATGGGTGGATTTGACTACAAAATCCTTGCTACCTTTAAGCCTAAGGGCTCATTCCCAATTAAACTTAAGGGCTACGTAGATCGAGCGGGGATTCTCGCTGAATGCAATCAGATAAACTGAATGACATGCCGCCTCCTGGCGTTTAGTAGAATAAACCAAAGCTGCTGATTATGCGAGTACGTTAGAAAACGAGAGGAGGTGTGTTAATAGGTTATACTGATTGCATTCAGCGAGATTCCTCGCGGATTGTGATCTCTCTACGTGCTAGGAGGCCGATGGGTAACTTGGGAATGAGCCCAAAAAGCCTGTACCCCTCAGTTGAAAATAAATATACACATACCTTGTGCAAACTCGAAGGGTAGCACCCACCACGGGCTCTTCAGCCAAGATATGTACAGAAAACGGGCCACGTTGCCTACGAGACCAATGTATAGCAGCTTTACGTGGCCTGAAATGTACAGCAATATAGTCACGTGTCACAGTCATATGGTGTACAGGTTGATAACTTATTGAAAACATTGTAGTTTCGCCATGTTAACATCAAGGCACGTGTTCGTTTAAACGACATAAAACAATGCATTATCATTATTGTCACTTTTCTCTGTACTATCTTTCATTATTGTTAGGATTGGTGGTTTTTATTCTAGGTTTCAACAAAATATTTCGCTAAATTAAAACTTGTCAAAGGGGTCGTTTTTTTAACATGATAAAGCAATCCTCTACCGCCCTATAAGAACTGATAAGTCCAGCACAAACCACGATCTGGGTCACAGTTGAATAAACATAATCTGATTCTGGATCTTAAAACATTTAGGTATCATAAATCCCACTTCATCCGTCAAATTAGGGTAATAAGCCAGAAGGTCAATTATATGTTGCTAGACTAGCACCAAATCTACCAGCCGGCCCCTCTCTCTCTCTTCCCAGCTCGTAACAAAAACGCATTGATTTACACAAGTAGGGACGGTCAATCAATAAGAGAATATGCATTACCCTGTATAGTACTGAACCCATAAAATCCCTTAATTAGTGATCCGCCATTTTTTATTTTAACACTGTTTTACTATGCCATAGCTAGCACTCGTCATATTTCGGCTTCTTTGCAGTCGTTAATTACTCGCGTATGTCAGCCAAAGTGCTCTGCCACATATATTTGTATTTCTATTTTGATTTAGGGGCTATACAAATACCCATTGCGGGTTGTTCTTGGTGTTTTTATGAGAGATGCTAGACAATACATGATAAATGCATTCTTGTAATGAAGAATCTCCCGTGTAAAACAGACAACTGGGGCAATAAATTAATTGCACCTACGAAACAATAACACATTCGTATTGTATGCTTGGTCTACACCTTATGATTTCTAATAATACTACAATTTTAGATCCAATGAAGGTCGTTGCGTCACCCGAGAACCATTTCCAAAAAAAAAAAAACGACACTTCCTTATCTTCCCCTTCTGCCCCCCCACCAAATGGTAAAAAAATAACGTGCCAAACCAAGCCTACCAAAATTTCCTTGTACCCTACATATTATAGACTATTGTCCTTGCCTACTCTGCATTCTTGCCGACCAATGCGACGCCAAAGTTGTTTCATCTTTGTGTTCATCCACCTGCCTTAACGAAATATTGAAGCTGTCTTTGAATATTTATTAAAATCGCTACTCAGTTTGTTTTGTGCACATCGATTATGGCAAAGGGATTGTCAGACCCACTGTATCTGTCATAGAGTACTCAGGCCCGTAGCCAGCAATTTCAGAGGAGGGGGTCGTTTTCTGAAAAAGTGGACTGTTTACCATAAAATCCTCAAGTACATACACTGTAGGTCAAATTTTATCCAGAGTGGACCTTTTCCCAGCAAAAAGGGTGGTTCTTTCGAACCCCCCAAACACCCTGGCTACGGGCCTGGTACTAGTAATCTTGCTCTTTTAATTTGAGCGGCTTAAATGTAGCATGTGCCACTAATCTGCATATACTGGTACTTCACCTAGCATCCCCTGCGAAAATTTGTCTCATTTAACGTTCACTTACGGTTCTCAATCTATTATCGAACATTTGGTGTGTTTCTTTTACAGTTTAAATGTTGTTCTGTTATGAATGTAACAGTTCGATAACTGTTCATGGGAAGTCCTTCACAATTTCCTAGAACAGATTAAGAACATTTTTCATTAAAAGAGAAAAACATTACCCAGTATGTTCGACGACAGATTGAAAACCGTAAGTGAACGTTAAATGAGACAGATTTTCGCAGGGGATTACACAAACCCCCGCATAACATGCCCTCAACCGGAAAAGGAAGCCCAAACCGGTGTAATATTCCTGACAGGAGCAACGTTTCCAAACTGGATTAGATATTCCCTACTGATATTAATATTAATATTGCGGGGTAACCATGTTACATCAGTATCAGTCTGAACAAACTAACGGGACGGGTCTTTGCAGACAAAAGGACTGCTATGTGCCTTGAATTGAATTATGTTACCAAACTCAATTTGCATGTCTGAAATGTTTCGTAATCGTGGTATGGGTATCGACTCGTTTGTATGGCACAATACAAGTCCCCTTCTCTCCCTCTCTCTCTCTCTCTCTCTCTGCCTCAGGCATGTGTGGCCGCCATTAAAGAGGCAGCTTTATTCACATTGAATAAGAAACTTGATATATCTCTTGTTTTAATGAGCATTCTAAAACCCAAAAGTTATTTTTAAGTGGAAAACTTTAAACAGCCGTTTTTAAGGTTCTTGGAAGTATGGCATAGCAATCTAGTTATAGCTGCAGCTAGGAACTGACACTCGATCTGCTCTCTGAGTGGGAGGACATTTATCGTTTTACCCATAAATATCTCATCTTTCACCATTTAGATCAATAGGATGTAACGCAATTATCCCCCTACAGAATATTGGACAGGAAAAATCCACTATGTTCCTCGCACAACCAAATCGGATAATTTGATCATTCCAATAACCTGGTTCTATTTACTTATATCATATAACTTATGTCAGGTAACTGGTTGCCGCGCAGGTGTGTAGAGAATGACGTCAATACGCTATCTCATCAAAGCACTTTCCTCAGAGTCAGTATCTAGTAGGTTATTGGATGCAAGGCTAGCAGTGGTAATATTTTCCTTGTCGCCTGACCAAGCTTAAAGGGCATAAAATTGAGGAACAAAATCAACAAGCCAACGTTTGTTTTTATATATTAGTTCCGAGGCAAATAAAGGTCTCTATCATAATACGCTGCATGCTAATTCAGGTATGAAACAAAATACACGTATTTTCCCAATGTGAAGCAGGCCTAATATCTTTATCTTTTTATTAACAATAGAGGGTGTGCATTTTAAAATATACAAGAGTTTTTCACTTGTGCCTTTATTATTAATTGCACCAAATGAATCTCAGTGGAATTTACGATCGTATAAAATCAATTTTTGTTAACGTCCCTATTCACAATATCTTTAATGCAACACCTGCGGGGTTGTTTCAGAGGGAGCAGATGACACTAGCAAGGTACTCCCTTGGAAGGTGCTGTCTAATTTGTGTGCACTCTTGTGAACGTTATTGTTTCATGATAAAGTTGAAAAGTATGTTGGGAAAGGTATTCAAATTGCCCATTTTCCTAAGCTGAAAATACACAAACGGTCACTGGAGGATTCATGGTATTTCTAAGGGTTGAAGGTGTGGGGGATAAAAAATTTAGATATAACAGAGCAGACAAGGACAACCTTTTGATAATCACTTTATCTATATTCTCTTGACAAATTATTTTTTAAAATTTCTTTGCCTTAATTGGTGGAGGAGAGAAAGATGGGAAAGTAGGGGTAAGTTCGAAGTTGGGAGGGGGAGGGCGTTGAGCACAAAGCCACCCATCCTGGATCCTCAGTTTGATAAAATGGCGAATCAAAGTACTAAGGGCACTCACCTATTTGACCAATCAGCCGACTGCTGAAGAAGTAGGCAAATATTTCCGATATATGGTTGATAACTGATGCCATACCAAACAAAGTTGGCGAACCCCCAAGATCCTGCAGGTGCCAGAACAAGAAGGTGAAAATGAGGCCAATCCCGAACCCCATGAACCATGCCAGGAATNATTCTTACGTAATGTCTGACCAATTTGGTCAATTTTTGCTAAATACTTGTCGTGGACGTTCAACTTGAAAAGTATTTAATCAACCGTCGACACTGACCATGCGCGTCTCAGCTGAGCCACACCTAGCTGGGACTGCTGCAGAAAAAAGTCCCAAGGCAAAACCTCTACTTTTTAGTGACATTTCTGATAAAAAAGGAGTTTCGGACTGGAATATAATTTTTCACAAGTGCAAAGGAGAAAGAATTTTACTTTTTGGTGATATTTCTGACAACGAGGCAGTTTCGGAATATAGCCAAAATCAGACGGATGTTTATTACAAGTTCACCGGAGTAATAATTCTATTTTTCATTGTTATTTCTGACGACGAGGCGGTTAAGGAATAGAGTCAAAATCAAATGGATATTTATTTCAAGTCCACAGGAGTAATAATTCTACGTTTTGGTGACATTTTTTACTACGAGGCGCTTTTGGAATATACATGTGCTGGTTTTCAGAGCATTCATGTGCTACATGTAATTAAAAGTTCAAAGGGGGAATGTATTTCATTTCTACCGATATAGCTGATAAAGAGGAAGAATGAACAGCTTAAAAACAAAAGGTAAATAACACAACCCTCGTTAAAAAGTTATAGATTTACAAATGATTTGTATGCACGTGTCGCTTAAATTTAAACGAATTCCCGTTTTTAAATCATATCCATATGTTATGACTTAGTGTAATAAAATTATAAATAATAATCGTTAAACGTGAAAAGTTCATGCTATTTTTTAAGAGTGTGAGAGATTTTTAATTTGTCTACTGGTAGGTATTTAACGCAAGCAACGTCACTATTCTCTTGATGCCAAGAAGGTCACATGATCACTTTGTCTTTGGCTTTCAGCACTGATTTAACCAAGATGTAGTCGTAATATTCTAGACTACATCGAGGTTAAATCCGAGTTTTCCGAGAGACGCTACGCAGAAATGTCGAGTGAAGCGAGATATGTTTGGGTAGCGGCTCGAGGTTGCCCTCGATCTTCACTGAAGCTTGACTAAATGGACAGGCTTCAGTGATCATCATATCGCCACGGTCATATAACATCCCTAGGTATGTATGGTAACAAGATTGAATGCTTAACCAGTGAGGGGGACTTTTTCTCAGCCCTTGTATTTTATTGTACAGTATCGACATTTTAATTAATTCCTTTTAGGTCCACATTTCCAATGCGCTCTTTTGAAAGTTATTAAAGATCAGTATTACTTAATAAAAATTAAAACACTAAAAGGAGAGCACTGTCTTTTTCATCCGTGGGTTGAATGTTAAAAAAGGCACAGATTACGCCTTCTTCTGCATTTCTATCAAATCAAAAAAAAAAAAAAAATGCCGCGAGACAAAATCACAATAATTTTTACATGATGCTTTAAGTGGAGAAGAAACAAGCCCACCTTTTCATTCCAGGGATCCGCTTTTCTAGAATGCGGCTGCAAATAGCCGTTCCCGTCCCCAGTAGCACCGTAACCTGGAATGTGTTAGTTGAGATATATCACAGTGGTGGTGCAGACTGGCGCAATCAGCATTAACAGCTATGTATTTTTGAAGTGAGACATTTTAATATTAAAATACACGCAGGAAAAAAAGCATGGAAACAAATTTGGAATTTTGCTGATGGCGGAATTAAGACATTGCCGACCTTCTAAAGCATTTCAGTGTAAGGTTTAGCAAAATAAAATAGCATAACTGTACACTGTCTTAAGGAGTACCTCGGACAATTGCACCAAAGGTATAAAAGCGTTTGTTAAAAAGAGAGAATATAATTTACAAATGTAATGTGAAATTATCGAAGTGTTTCACGCGCACGCGTGTGTGTGTGCATGTGTGCTTACGTGTATGCGCGCGTGCGCTCGCGCGTGTGTATACGAAGCGTGATGTATGCTGTGAGGTGGCATTTTACCTTGGTGTTCAGACTCCATGGCAGCCAGCTTTGAATTGGACAGGTTACGACTCATGGGGTTCATGGGTACCCCGCAGGGGGCGAGTGTGGACGTCTCTTCCACGTACTCCTTCGGCTCGTGCTTGTCCTGATTCAGGAAGTCTGCCGGCGTCTGCACGTCACTGGAGAAGTAATTGGCAGCCACGAAGAACACAAGAACAGCGATGCAAAGGAATCCATAAATACGGAATGTCCATTCGGAACCTAGTTTAAAAAAATTAGAAATGGTTTCTGATAATCGAATAACTTCTTTAGTTTACAGAGAACCATATTTCAAGCACGGTCAAAATCGTTAGCACTAACTACCCTCTAATAGGGTCGTACGTTGATTTTCCCCAGATATTCACAGATATATCTCTGGCTTATTTAAATAAAATGACATTTATATGACACAATTTTCTACTGTCGCGTTGGATAAAAAGTGCACATAAATTGTCTGCAGCCCTGGTAGACGGTAAACGGTGACTGTTGCCGTTGCGGTAACTATTTAACAGAAACCTCTTGTATTGAATGAGAGCCGTTGGAATGGTAGATAGGCGGATTAAGTCGCTGTAGTGTGGTTACTGTGTGATTGATTTCGACAGTGAAACAATCTAAATTACAAGAACGTAAAGTTCATCATACCGATGCAAAAAAAGTCAGACTAAGTTACTAATTAACCTTGGAATCTTTCCGGTATGCAAATAAATCGGCTAAAATTAATAGCAGTTTTAACGTTAACCAAGATTGATCAGCCGATTGATATTCCAAGGTAGTTCTATTGTGAGACAACCCCCGGTGTGACAGGAATGTTAGTCTGCTAGGAACGGTAGTTCGTTCCCCATAACTTTGTGCATGTGACATGCGTCCCATATACTACAGTACTAAATCAAATACTCCGACTAACCCTAACCTGTACTAATCGATTGGGGCCCCAGACGTCCATTTCTAGGACTACCATTTCTGTCACACCGGCCCAGCTATAAACATTTCCACTGGATATTTACCCAGGTAGTGTACCATGATGCCCCCGAACACGGCGCCGCAGCCCCTCCCCAGGCCGTGGTGTAGGCCCTGCAGGATCCCCTGAGCCGAATGCTTCAAGTGTGCTGGTGTGGCGTTGGTTATATAGGAGACGCTGGCGGCCCATACTAAGGCATGGGTAATACCTGGAGTACAAAGAAATAGTCTTGAATTTCACGTTGACCATCCTATTAACATGGGTGGACTTGACTAAAAAATCCCTGATACCTCTTAGCCTCAGGGCTCATTCCCAAATAAACTTTAGGATTACGTTGATCTAGTTTACTCTGCGGGGATTATCGCTGAATGCAATCAGATAACTGAATTACACGCCGCCTCCTGGCGTTGAGTAGAATACAGAAAAGCTGCTGATTATACGAGTACGCTGGAAACAAGAGGAGGTGTGTTAATAGGTTATACTGATTGCATTCAGCGAGAATCCTCGGGGACTTGGATCTATCTACGTACTAGTAGGCCGATAGGTAACTTGGGAATGAGCCCAAAAGGACTGTACCCCTCAGCTGAAAATTAAAAACACATACCTTGTGCAAACTCGAAGGGTAGCACCCACCACGGGCTCTTCAGCCAAGATATGTACAGAAAGCGGGCCACGTTGCCAACGAGACCAATGTACAGCAGCTTCACGTGACCTGAAATGTACAACAATATAGTCACGTGTCACAGTCATGTGTTGTACAGGTTGATTATTTATTGGAAACAATGTAGTTTCGCCATGTTGACATCAAGGCACGTGTTCGTTTAAACGACATTAAGCAAGGCATTATCAATATTGTCACTTTTCTCTGTACTATTATTATGATTATTGTAAGGATTGGTGGTTTTTATTCTAGGTTTCAACAAAATATTTCGCTAAATTAAAACTTGTCATAGGGGTCGTTTTTCACATGATAAATCAATCCCATACCGTCCTATAAGAAATGATACGTCCAGCACAAACTACGATCTGGGTCACAGTTGAATAAACATACTCTGATTCTGGATCTTAAAACATTTAGGTATCATAAATCCCTGTTCATCCGTCAAATTAGGGTAATAAGCCAGAAGGTCAATTATATGTTGCTATACTACCACCAAACCTACCAGCCGGCCCCTCTCTCTCTCGTCCCAGCTCGTAACAAAAACGCATTGATTTACACAAGTAGGGACGGTCAATCAATAAAAGAATATGCATTACCCTGTATAGTACTGAACCCATAAAATCCCTTAATTAGTGATCCGCCATTTTTTATTTTAACACTGTTTTACTATGCCTTAGCGCTCGTCATATTTTGGCTTCTTTGCAGTCGTTAATTACCCGCCTATGTCAGCCAAAGTGCTCTGCCACATATATTTGTATTTCTATTTTGATTTAGGGGCTATACAAATACCCATTGCGGGTTGTTCTTGGTGTTTTTATGAGAGATGCTAGACAATACATGATAAATGCATTCTTGTAATGAAGACTCTCCCGTGGAAAACAGACCACTGGAGTAATAAATTAATTGCACCTACGAAACAATAATGCATTCGTATTGTATACTGAGTCTGTACCTCATGATTTCTAATAATACCAACAATTTCTATGCACTGAAGGGCACTGCGTCACACAAGAACCATTTGCAAAAAAAAAAAAAAAAAAAAAAAAAAAACAAGACGACACTTCCTTATCTTCAGAGGTACCCCGTCTTTCCCCTTCCTCCCCCTAATAGTAGAAAAATAACGTGCCAAACCAAGCCTACCAAACATTTCCTTGTACCCTACATATTATAGACTTTTGTCCTTGCCTACTCTGCATTCTCGCCGACCAATGCGACGCCAAAGTTGCTTCATCCTTGTGTTCATCCACCCTCCTTAAAATATTGAGCTGAGCTGTCTTTGAATATTTATTAAAATTGCTACTCAGTTTGTTTTGTGCACATGGATTATGGCAAAGGGATTGTCAGACCCACTGTATCTGTCATAGAGTGCACACACTGGACAATAGAAGTGTCACCCCCTGAATCAGAGTAATTTAAGTTATTAACCTGAAGAGGCGGAATATAAGGAATGTCAGAATATCGATACAGTTGAATTGTTCAGTCAGAACCGTTTCTTTTGTGAAATTTGATGTTAATAAAATGATACCAGGAGCATATCATACCACAGTCATTTATCTCCCCCAAAGTATTGGTTCAGTAGGTGTGACACTTCTATTGTCCAGTGTGTGTACTAGTAATCTTGCTCTTTTAATATGAGCGCCTTAAATGTCCCCTTATTGAGAGAAGAATCTACCGAAGCCCGAGATATTCAGTAAAAATGATGGAAAGAAAGACTCGACCAAAATATCGGTATGGCGTAAAATGTGCCACTAATCTGCATATACTGGTACTTCACCTAGCATCCCCTGCGAAAACTTGTCTCATTTAACGTTCCCTTACGATTCCCAATCTATTCTAGAACATTTGGTGTATTTCTTTTTTTCTTTTCTCATTTTCAATGTTGTTTTGTAATGAATGTAACAGTTCGAGAACTGTTCTTGGGAAGTCCTTCACAATTTCTTAGAACAGATTAAGAACATTTTTCATTAAAAGAGAAAAACATTACCCAGTATGTTCGAGGACAGATTGAAAACCGTAAGTGAACGTTAAATGAGACAGATTTTCGCAGGGGATTACGCAAACCCCCGCATAACATGCCCTCAACCGGATAAGAAAGCCCAATATAGGTGTAATATTCCTGACAGGAGCAACGTTTCCAAACTGGATTAGATATTCCCTACTGATATTAATATTAATATTGCGGGGTAACCATGTTACATTAGTATCAGTCTGAACAAACTAACGGGACGGGTCTTTGCAGACAAAAGGATTGCTCTGTGCCTTGAATTGAATTATGTTACCAAACTCAATTTGCATGTCTGAAATGTTTCGTAATCGTGGTATGGGTATCGACTCGTTTGTATGGCACAATACAAGTCCCCTTCTCTCTCTCTCTCTCTCTCTCCCTCTCACACCCTCTCTCTGCCTCAGGCATGTGTGGCCGCAATTAAAGAGGCATCTTTATTCACATTGAATAAGAAACTTGATATATCTCATTCTGAAACCCAAAAGTTATTTTTAAGTGGAAAAACTTTAAACAGCCGTTTTTAAGATTCTTGGAAGTATGGCATAGCAATCTAGTTATAGCTGCAGCTAGGAACTAACACTCGATCTGCTCTCTGAGTGGGAGGACATTTATCGTTTTACCCATAAATATCTCATCTTTCACCATTTAGATCAATAGGATGTAACGCAATTATCCCCCTACAGAATATTGGACAGGAAAAATCCACTATGTTCCTCGCACAACCAAATCGGATAATTTGATCATTCCAATAACCTGGTTCTATTTACTTATATCATATAACTTATGTCAGGTAACTGGTTGCCGCGCAGGTGTGTAGAGAAAGACGTCAATACGCTATCTCATCAAAGCACTTTCCTCAGAGTCAGTATCTAGTAGGTTATTGGATGCAAGGCTAGCAGTGGTAATATTTTCCTTGTCGCCTGACCAAGCTTAAAGGGCATACTATTGAGGAACAAAATCAACAAGCCAACGTTTGTTTTTATATATTAGTTCCGAGTCAAATAAGGGTCTCTATCATAATACGCTGCATGCTTATTCAGGTATGAAACAAAATACACGTATTTTCCCAATGTGAAGCAGCTCTAACATCTTTATCTTTTTATTAACAATAGAGGGTGTGCATTTTAAATTATACAAGATTTTTTCACTTGTGCCTTTATTACTAATTGCACCAAATGAATCTCAGTGGAATTTACGATCGTATAAAATCAATTTTTGTTAACGTCCCTATTCACAATATCTTTAATGCAACACTTGCAGGGTTGTTTCAGAGGGAACAGATGACACTAGCAAGGTACTCCCTTGGAAGGTGCTGTCTAATTTGTGTGCACTCTTGTGAACGTTCTTATTTCATGATAAAGATGAAAAGTATGTTGGGAAAGGTATTCAAATTGCCCATTTTCCTAAGCTGAAAATACACAAATGGTCACTGGAGGATTCATGGTATTTCTAAAGAGTTGAGGGGGTGGGGGATAAAAAATTTAGATATAACAGAGCAGACAAGGACAACCTTTTGATAATCACTTTATCTATATTCTCTTGACAAATTATTTTTTAAAATTTCTTTGCCTTAATTGGTGGAGGAGAGAAAGATGGGAAAGTAGGGGTAAGTTCGAAGTTGGGAGGGGGAGGGCGTTGAGCACAAAGCCACCCATCCTAGATCCTCAGTTTGATAAAATGGCGAATCAAAGTACGAAGGGCACTCACCTATTTGACCAATCAGCCGACTGCTGAAGAAGTAGGCAAATATTTCCGATATATGGTTGATAACTGATGCCATACCAAACAAAGTTGGCGAACCCCCAAGATCCTGCAGGTGCCAGAACAAGAAGGTGAAAATGAGGCCAATCCCGAACCCCATGAACCATGCCAGGAACAGGAAGGACCCGTAGCGGAGATTACAGAACAATCGAAACACGTGGAGCCATTTCGGTTGCTCGTAGAGTCCTNGTCACTTATTCCCACATTTATGCTTTTTAGATGGAAAGAAGGTTTTGCAATATGAATAGGAGAAGTACCCGTGTCTCTTCGCGATCTATCCAAGGGATCCTCGCGTATAACTCCCGTATGGTTTCTCGCCAGGCACGAGTCCACGGTTGGTTGGATGAAAGCCAATGCCAAGGTAAAAGCTACCCAGCTGAACAGTGCAAACAGCATTATCTGCTTTCCTTTCCGCCATTTGTCGGCCAGATTCCCCCAAAAGGGCGCACTCAGGAACTCTATGAACGGCCGGAACCCGATAAGCATGCCGCTTTGGGTGGCGTTCATGCCAAGTTGTTTGAAGTATACGGCCAATAGAGGGAATAGGGAGCCGAAAGCAGCGAAGAAGAAGAAATAGAAGAGCTTGGAGATGAGCAGCTCTTGGTTAACATGGGTACACATCTGGTCTATGCAATCCCTTGGCTTGCTCTTCTTGCTTCGGGGCTCTGGGTCAAAGTACTGTGCGTCGTTGCCCGGCATGGTGATGGCTTTTTATTATTGCTGATTATGTTACTGTTATTGGTGTCGTTGTTGGTGCCGGGGGGACGAAACTGTTGATAAGGTGGAAGGTCCTTTTAAATATGGATACCAGCTGAAAATGTAATATTTATACTTTTATAAATGCATTCCATACAGCTCATTGAAACCAACTGAGTACTAGTAAAATTTATTGTCATAAAAAATGGATCCCACACTTACCCTTTGTGGAACGTTTGTCTTAAAAAAGGGAAGCAAAAATATACTGGTCGTGCTGCATTTAAATTTATCAGTCCTTAATATGCGTTTCATGTTGTACTAGCTAAGAATTTGTACCATTCAATATTTACTGTATATGCACCTGTATAATAAAGCTATTGAGTTAGACCTATATGACTGCAAAGAAATCATATAACAACATGTACGGAATTGTAATGAAACAAGATGTAGCAACGATGAAAAGACCGGCATACATCACACTAGTCTTACATATATGACAACCGCATCCTTCTTAGCTTGATAATTTTAGCGATTGTCAAAGACATACGTATGTAATTCAGACTGCAAAATTGCTACAACAAATTAGCAGTGTGGTTATTAGTTTTTCTCTTCAGAATAAATAAGCAGAAATACAGTTTTTTCTGATAATGGGGTGTTCTTGTACGCCTGCAGAAACTCATTACAGAATCAATTTATTTTATCACAAAAATGGCTGCAACTGCAATAACCCTTCATATATAAAAGCGTGGCCGGGATCGATCACAGAGGCTGGACTCACTCATGATCAGTAAACACAATTTTGTAATCTAGTTATTTCACATAATGTGGACCAACTCAACAGATTACCGTCCGTTTCAACTTAAATGCGAGAGAGGATTTCAAAATCGGCATCACCTTCGTCTTGCTCGCTCTTACCGAACCTCTTATTTAATTTGACACTTTGGCAAAAGTCAAATAACCACTTCATATACTTATACAGCAAAACCATTACCCCAATCATACTCCTTAAAAGAAATCAATCTTTTTCACAATTTTTTTCTGTGCCAACTATTCTCCAAGCATACCACGTATTGTGTAACGCTGCTGGCTATAGAGCAGTGCCTATTGTTTGTTGAAGAGTCAACATACAAACGTAGAGATCCATTATCAGTGGCAGCAGTTTGACTTCTCAGCTTCTAAATCCCTACTATTGATTCTGAGAAATCCCATTTAAACGGAATTTTATAAAAGACATAGGAAATCAATTGAAAGACCTATCGACCAATATGTCTCTCGCCGCGCCTTTCTAGTGAATATACTGTCAAACCAAGACACAAGCCCTTGGCCATTGCAATTGCTTCTCCGAACATATGATTTTACACTGAGAATGTAGCTGATTTTGTTAGAGGAAATCTGTAATCACGCTACAGGAAATTCGCTCAGTAAAAGGCTTGAAATCGTCTAGAGTCTTCAAGACTGTGGGTTTTGTGCAGACGAATTTGCAACACAAAACTCGATGGGAATGAAGTAGGCCTACTCTTAAAATAGTTTTTGTCGATACTCACCGTAGATATCCAATTAGAAATCCACTTGACATCGCATACTACTGCGATATTTTGCTTGAAACTTGTTTTAAACACAGCTGCCGGGTGCAGTGTAGATGATGCTCATACAATCGGGTGAATTTACAACATCAAATTATTTCGCCACTATTAATGCATTGTATCAATACACTGTGTATATGTACTGCGAAGATATATTGGGGTGTTTTAGAATAACATTTCCCTGCCTTCGAGACATTTCTATATGATATATATGACACAATGGCACTGTACACATCTCTGAAGTTCAGAGCGCATAAGAAGTGTGGAGTTTATCCACAGAGGCAGCTATTTATATCTTCCATTATGTACCAAAGGCAACTTTCGTCAGTGAACCGACTAGGATAAATCTCATAAGTGCCCCCGAAATGTTGCCGTAAAACAATAAAGTGTAAATTTACCGAAGTATGTTTGAAAAGCTGAAGCGGTGCCCCCATTGGTTTGCTTTGTTATACAAGTTTACCCCAGTATTAGCCGTAGCTTAGTTAATGTATATAATGTATTCTGCACATAATCATCCCAGCAGTGGTTTATTTGGTTACAATAAACTGTCTCATATATTTTCTTTGAAGGGCAGCTGGAAGTCGGGCAATTTACTGACCGGATTTTTGCCAGCACGGCGTGTGTACGTATTGATTGCAAGTTTTAGTAATAAGGTTATAACTAACATTAAGCCACTTCATCGATCTCAGCATTTATTGATCGCGCGTACGGGTTTTGCCATTATTTTTATGTTATTGTTTTGCCTGTTATGTCCGAAATAACATCTGTTTGGGATGCTGGTTTTAATGATACAATTGATCAACACCGGAGAGAAAAATAAAAGGGTTGGTTACATAAAGGCCCTTCTCAAAGCATTTCTATTGTGTAGCAAATTAGGTTTCCTGTGAATTTCCCCTTTTGTGCCAAAATGACAATGAGTTATTGCTAATTTTGCACAAGGAGCTTTGTCCTCATTCTTAGAAAGAAGAATGTGATTTAAAGTAATTGCAATAGGTTCATTTTTGTACAAATGCACTGCTCTGAAATTTCGTTTCCATCATTATCTCTATTGTCAATAGTGCAATATTTTCTTGTTACTGAAATATCTATAATAAACGCAATAAGTTTAGGCAGTAAGACAAGGAAGTCTACCACAACCGAATCATTTGATTTCTGCACAATAATAGAAGTAGCAACTTATTGTCCATAGGGATGTTACATTATGTATTTCCCTTCGAAGTCTTCCGTTCGGATTCGCAATGACAAACGTCATTCATGTACCTTGCACATGCAAGCGACGCATCAATTGTACATGTGCAATGTTGTGGAATAAACACAGGGGTGTAGTTTTTTACGGAGAATAACGTTTGTTTGTCTTACGTACTTGTAAATGGTTAAATCTATTTTCACAATGCATTTTCTAATAAAAACCCTTACAACTTCACCGGTATGCCGAGCAGTGTACATTTATTATTTATCTATTTTTTTTTTTTTGGGGGGGGGAGGAGGGAAGGGTCTATCATTAGTTTATCATACAAATGGTTATTACTGTCATAGAATTATTCGTCAGGCCTAAGGCGGTTATGGGATTACTTTTCAGTGGAGGGTACAAACACGTATACTTGTTCTCCTGTCAAAATAGACTATAGTGCATAACCGACAACTCTGATTTCTTCTAAGTACGACCTCCTACATCCATTGAAAGTTAATCTTTGTGATACTTTTCAAGAAATAACTTCAATAAAGAGAGTATGGTTTGTACTTAATCTAGCAGTTGCATGCACTGTACAGTGTGCGTCGAACTTTCCTACTGTACACTTTGTGATAATTGTCGACCTGGTGGTTTTCTTGCCACACTGGACATTTTGAAACACGCTGTTACAATTAAGCGAAAAAAACTGAGTTGCACTGTCAAAATTCACACCTCACAGGCACCTCTTTCTATTTCTAAGAGAACATGAACAATCCAGCTTTCAATCTACTCAAAGGCTATGTATCATATCATTTAAATTACAGGTACGTGCACTTAACGTCAATACTACAAAGTGACAACGTCAGAAACGACAAACTTACCCCTCTCCTCTACATATTACCAAGAACTCATCAGAAGAACTGCTACAATATCGCGACGGTACAACGAGTGCAAAATCAATGAAGAAGCAATAGAAAGCACACTGCCTACTGAGCCTGGTGCATGCGGCATCCTCGACGTAGAGCAAGAATCGATAAATTATTCAAGGATTTGAAGTTCCATAGCGCGTCGATATTCGCACACACTGTACATGTAACTTGCTCCATTTTATTTTGTTAGGTTATATAAGGAAAAACATGATTTTTACCATGTTGGAGTTAAAGACGGAAATCTCCTATCAAGATGATGTGCTATTTAAAATATGTAATATGCGTAAAAGGACAAATCCAAGGCGATGCATAGGGTTAGAATGATTTATCGGCGTGACAGTTTGTCGCTAATCATAATTTCAGTTGCCACGGTTGGTAAGTGGTAGGCCAAGTATTTCCCAAGATAGTTTTCATATCTATAACCATAAAGGGCGGTGGCGGGAAATTTTATCCATAAAGAAACTATTATTACACCGGAGTTACGACTGCTTGGGCATGTTTTTTTCACCCACTCTCATTCCTTTTAATTAAAGATGGGGCTTTGGCAAGGGTTTATAGTCAGCATCAAATCCATGCAACAACGGTAATGAACTTTAAATGTTGCAGCATTTTCCTTCGTTACATATTTGTTCTCCAAGCAATAACAAGCCAGGTGAAACAGGGCTTTAATACATGCACCTTTATGTTGAAGCATGGGTTTTACTCTTCAAATGGTGGTGTTTAGAGAGATATGGGAGTCGGAGGACGATTTTGTGTTTAAGTTCTTTCTGTCTAAGCATCTGTACCCAAAACCCGATTTCTTCATTTTACTACATCATAACGTCTAAATTCAAGCATTTTCAAAAAACAAATGCAAAAAGGGAGAGGTGTTTTGATACTCAGAACTGCGGACGTTGACTTTTTCTGTTATATCTATAGCATAATCCATTACCTAAACAAATAAATAGTCTTAAACTGTCGCTGTCGGTCATAAACCCACACGTCTCCGGAGATTTAAAGATCAATAATATCTTTTACGCCTTTTAGACAAAAACGGTGCTCAAACAGTTTTTCTGAGAACCACTCACTATGTTTTGTATGCACAATGCGTTGATGTTTATAGATTTTTTGTCCACACTGTGTCAGGAGACCCTTCAGCTCACTATGTTCAGAACGCAAAATGTGTTGATGTTTATAGTATTTTTGTCCACACTGTGTCAAGAGACCGATACGGCAATCGATACATCAACCCTGATGGAACTCAGTTTAAATAAAACCCAGTTCGATACCATCCCGCGAGATATCGATTTTTGAAAGGCTTCGGGTCTCCGGCATTTCCCTCGGAGAGGAAGTTGTAGTGACCCCAACAAAAACATAGTAGTTTTGCGTGAACAGTTTCAATAACATTGTTACGATAGACTACATAAGCCGACAGCAACAGAGGAAAGGCGCAAACAAACATTATGTAACACTTAAATTGTAAATTTCGAGGCGGAATGTATAAAAACACAACAATACTACTTGAATTCTTGAGATATTATGGAAATATTGAAAAGAAATCTTAAAGACGGGGGATGATGGGAAACAGACACTCCTCTCCAACATTTACCATGAATGGTAATTTTTGTGTATATCACAATTGGAATAGAGATTTGAATATCATTAAAACAAAAACAGATATTTCTAGGAATTGTGCTCACTAGCGAATTTTGTTTTTATAAAAAAAGAAGAAGAATCATCTCTTATCGGATTTTATATTGTATAATAATAATAATAATAATAATAATAATAATAATAATAATAATAATAATAATAATAGTGTGACTAAATATTGGATGGTACGAGCACTATAAAAGAGTGATAAAAGTAACAAAATTCATCATGAAACAGTCTACTGCTATAAGATACAATGTAGCGCACTTTTATTTTTATTTTTTGTACTAGCACTGAAGTATCATTCATTCTTAAGAACATTTGTGAAGACCTGTTATGGGTCACTATTTCGTACTTTTTTTTCAAACCAGTAATAACCGCGACATCTTAACACCAACATTTCTGTTTGTCTGAGACTATCGAGGTTACCATATTTTTTAAAGAAGCAAAATATGGCACACTGAAAACTGTAGTATATGATAATTCAAATTGTATCAGGGTACGAGTTTAAATACGAAAAGCTCACAGAGTCAAATCAATCCAATTGCGTCAGCTGAGACGCGTTGTCTCAATTAACACAACATGATTCCGAATTCTAGCCCGGTAAAACAGCAATGGAAGTCCGCTAGGAACCATTCGTCCCATATAATAACCCCAATACTCCGACTAATCCTAACCTTTACTAAACATATGGGAGGCCGGACTTCCATTTCTAGGACTTCCATCCCTGTCACACCGGCTTAATCAACTCGCCCCGTTTTTTACATTAAACAGAAACAAACTCTCTCTCTCTCTCTCTCTCTCATTAAACTATAAAGCCCCCTTTACACTGGACGGCGTCCCTTCTGCGTCCAGCAGTACGGCCCCATTTGAGAGTTAAAAATTATAATACTTTACGTGCCGACAACTGGCCGATCATTGAGCATTCATTCTGATACAAAATCAATCCTCGTGCCTCCTTATTTGGACCACAGCGATGCCAAATTTCATGGTCGCAGATAGGACGCAGAAAGGACGCCGTCCAGTGTAAAGGGGGTATTACAAACTCTCTCTTCCTCTCTCTCTCGTGAATTTCTTAATTTTTTTGCAGGTCCAGATTTAACAAAGGTGCTATTCTCTCACTTAACTTAATTGATAAAACAGTTATTTTTGACAAAAGTCATATACGGCGTTTCTATCCACCATCTATGGACTACAACTAACAATATATCTAGAGTAAATTGATGTAGGTGGAACGCTGAATAATTACTCCATTGAAGAGCTTAAAGCTTAGAGCTTCATATTTGCGCAAGGAATTATATATACATATACATATGCATACACATATACATGTCATTATAAACAGTGTTGACAAGTCCGACTCTTCATTGATCAATAGTCTCGCACCTGTTGCATTTAAGTTAAGTCAGGTTAAACTGAATTATTTATCTACGGAAATGTCACGTCACCAATGCTGCTGTTTTTGTTGCGTTTTTGAATGACAGTCTTAAATATTAATGTGCGTTGCAAAATGCCATCAGAGCAAAACGCAAACAACATCTGCGCTCTTGTTAAAAGGCCAGTAGCTTGCTGGGAGTCGAAACAGAACGATGGTACAATGCAGCCTTAAAGAATTCAATTCCAGTCGATATTAATCGTCGTAGCAAGAAGCCTCATGGTATCCCAGAAAAGAAGAATGGTTCAAACATCCACTTTTGTGTTCTAATTGGATAAATTGACATCGATTAATCAGTACCAGTGCCATTTTTGTTCTGTGCCAAAAAAGGATGAAAACAAAAATCTCAGCCACGTTATACAAGGATGGTTGCTCCGATGCAGCTGTTTGACCAACAGAAGACCAGGATTCCGAGGGGTGTCCGTATTTATCGTCATATCATGGGTCTCCGCATTCATAGGTTTTTCTTCGTTTGCCTGGTAGCAGGAACTCTCTGGTGTTTACGCTCTCTGTACCTGGGTATCAGCGGTAAGTTAGTGGTGAGTGACTTCTCTGAAAAAGCCGAGGTTTTGCCAAAGAGGGGGTGGGGGGTATGGCGATAAATTAAATTAATAGAAAGAGCACAGGGATGGAAAGGGATGTCATTTGTCTTGTTTCTTGTATTGAAGAGCACGGGGAGAGAAGAGGGTACCTCGGAAACCAAGGCTGGGGAGGAGGCACACTTGCCGGCTAGAGACAACATACATGCCACCATTTGTTTTATTTTTATTGATGCAGTCCTCGATCATCCATAGGGATGCGTAAAATGATGTCTTTGGTCTGTTTCATTTTCTTATGCCTCATGATAATTAAGCATTGCTTTTTCAGCTGCTCCCGTCACTCTTAGTTATATTTAACTTGCCATCGTCACTTACAATCTGTGTGCGTCTTCATTTATAATTTATCATGTACCTCTATTTTTAAATATTAATTTTTTTTTATTTATTACGACCACCAACTATGCGTAAAAGAAGATGTATCAGCAAAGACCGTTTTACATTCGTAATATGTCAGTTACCAAGATACGACCTTTTTTTCTTTATTATTCCAGACAGCAATCATATAACTCAGGGAACGTAAATGACATACAAGCTCATGACATTTACGTTCATCTATAAGAAAATTTAACTTACGTTTCACGTACTTATTGAGAGGACAAGAATGTCTTAAAACATTAATTCTGAGTCACAGATCGACACGAGCTTTGTCATACGCAAACGAAGATACATGTAACGTATTCTTCGCGTTTGATATTGAAGAACTGAATTATTGATAGCCTTGCTGGTATATGAATGCAGCTACGTTTTGGTTCATGTTTATTTCAGACTGCACACTCCATAAACTGAACGAAAATATCCAAGTTCAGAAGGTAAGGATTCATGTTAACTTTGATCTTATGATACTAGGCTCGTTTGTATGGCACAATACAAGTCCCCTTCTCTCTCTCTCTCTCTCTCTCTCTCTCTCTCTCTCCGTGCATACATACAATGTACATGCATATATACGTACATAGATATGTGTATATCGTTCTACCTACAGTTCATATTGAATATAATGGTGAGATGAAATTTTAGCACGTTAGCTGGAGCTATTATATTATGGGTGAGAACAAGAGTCTGATTTACAAGTAGCGCAGATTGGTGAACGATTATATCTTATCGCTACACGCATTTTTAAGTTAATTACAATTCATTCTTGTCAAGTTGTTTTGGAAATGAAAAATATATGAAAAATATCCACCCAATTGCAACCAGCCTGCATATTTAAACAATCAAGTCATTTTCCACAACTTTTTTGATTGAGTATTCTGTGTAATCTAAGAAGGCGAACTTAAATTCATTACCCTTGTAAGTTANTAATTCTCTTAGTTATACTACTTGAATCTATATGCTGGCATTTGGTTGGTTTTTATGACAAAAAATTGACTTTGTATGTATCTTTAAGTGGGGTGAA